ACTTGAAGTTCAGATTCAACGGATTTCTGAGAATCACGCCATGCTTGCAGCCTCAGGTCCATTTGAGAAACGATGTAAGAAGATGCGCCATTAGCTCGAAAGTTCTGCAACTGTTCAATGTGTTGTTTAAGATAGTCCAAATAGGCTTCAATGGAATTAGATAATTCAGCACACCCCTGTTCTCTAATTCCTGACACATGGCGATCGAGAGACTTCCTGAAAAGTTCAAAGGGTGAACCTTTAAGGAGAATCCGATCAACCATGACGTTTAAGAAAGAAACGAAGCTTTGGACATCAGCACAAAGGACAACTTTGTCCGCATCTTCATCTGCCAATAAAGTTTGAATACGCTCGGACAAGGATGAAGAAAGAGCTGCAAAGAGAATAAATGGAGTAAGCACAAAAACATATGCACTCGCTGGAGGGCTTCACGACCGGGTTACCTTGGCTTGTTGAGGTCATAACAGATTCTATAACAACCGGGATTTGTTCAGGAATAACGCTCGTCGGTTGAGTCACTACACCAGACGATTGTTCACCTGAAACCCCCGATGGTTTCGGATCCAGAGCGACAAGATCTTGAGGAACAAGTTCTGTTAATGAGAAAAGGATGAATAAACACTCCGCAAGTATTAATCTAACTTCGAAGCACAACTAGATGAGACATACCAAGTTGAGCCGAAGTAGCAGGAGGTTGCTCTTCCACTGTAGCCTTCGACCCTCCTACTTCATGATCCACTGGAGTCGGAGCAGAAGGCACAACAGGTTCAGCTTCGACAATAGCGGAAGTCGGAGGAGCAGTGGCCGGTGGTTCAACTTCAGCTGGGGGACTTGCCAAAAGTAAGAAACCCAGACCTTCAGGTTGACCACATTCACCAATGACGGTAGACGCATCAACTTCGTTGGTTGGTCCTACGTCTAAAATTCTTATTTCAGTCCTCCAAGAACAATAAAAGATGAAAGTACAGTTGAAAACTGGAGTCTAAAAGGGTATACCTTTTGATGCACCTACTTCAGCTGAATCAACTCGAATAGTTGGTCCTGCAGTAGCAGATGGAACCGGAGTTGATAGTATATCGGAGATTTCCTGGTGTACATCTTCAGAAATGTCAAGATCAAAGTCTCGCTCATCGAAATCCCCGATACCCATATCATGGGTAAGTTCTATGTCTTTCGGTTCGTTGACAGGGATGTCTATTAAGCAGAAGAGTCCGTCAACATATATGCAAGAAATATGAAAGAATCAAAACAAATAAAGTGAGATTACCTTCAACAATAGTTGCGGGATTAGCAGCGCTACTACCCGCACTCACCTCCTTTAGTTTAACTAAAAGAAGATAAAGCGCACAAGTTAGTAGGAGAGAAACAAACAAAATAAGGTTACCTTCAATAACAATTGCGGGGTCAGTAGCGCTACTATCCGCACTCACCTCCTTTAGTTTAACTAAAAGAAGATAAAGCGCACAAGTTAGTAGGAGAGGAACACGTTCCGATTCACTTATCTTCCGGAAATGCCCCCCAAATGAGAAAACATCTGTACCTGTGTCGGCAGTTGGTGAGGTCGATGTAGTGGCCGGAGGAGGGGCAGTGTCCACATTGAGGGGTTCTTCACTCATCGCTTTTTGCACCTGTTGAGTGAAGCTGGACTCATCAACATCCATTAAACCCGGAGAAGAAGGCTCGGGCACGATTTCCCCTTCCTCTTCTGGCTCAGCTATAATGGCAAAGAGAGAAATAAGACGCTATATTCAAAGATGAAATAATGAAAAAGAAACAAGAATGAGATCTTACCCCCTCGATCAATCGGAATATCCTGAGTAAACTCTTCTTCAGGCAACGAGGAGAGTTGACGTTGTCGATGAGCCATCTTCTTAACCCTTTTCGAAGCACGAGAATCTCGAGGAACTTCGGAGCTCTCATGGCGAAACTTGGAACGCAATTCAGACCCTTGAACAGGGCTGGGTTGAACTTCAGAAGAGGCAGAAGATCGGGATCTCTTTCTGCTAACAAGCGGGGTGGCATCTTCCTCTTCTTCTTCTTCTTCTTCCTCTTCTTCAAACGCAGACCATCTGACTGTCATCTTGTTAGAAGACGATAAGGGAATATTCTTCTCCATCATTCGAATACCCTTAGAAGGAGCACCGGGTGATTGGGGCGAAGAAGCTCGACGAGTCCTGTGAGCCACGGGAGACAAAGGTACATCAAGGGAATATTCTTCTCCATCATTCGAATACCCTTAGAAGGAGCACCGGGTGATTTGGGTGAAGAAGCTCGACGAGTCCTATGAGCCACGGGAGATAGAGGGACATCAGCCTCGGCTTCATCTTTGGTTTCATCCTCCTCGCTGGACGTTTCGAAGTCGTCACTCTCTTCGGAATCAGCTGCTTGTTTTCCTTTGCGGGAAGATGTAGCGGGTTCCTTTCCTTTTTTAGATACAATTCTCCGAACCACGGCCTCGGATTCCAGTTCGGAAAGCTTCTTCTTCGCAAGAGGAGTGTTGGCGGCTAAAATCCACCGGCAATAAACAAAGGTCATGTGGAGTTCAGGCTCAGCAACAGGCAGACTAAACTGAGCTCCGGTACAGCCGGCAACATTCCAGAACCAGGCTCGTACTCCATCAATGAGGCTCCCGCAGGTTATCAACCACTTATTGGGATTCCTGATGTACAGTTGATCGTAGCCGAATTGTCGCGCAAAACGGCAAGGAAAATAAGGCTCAATCCTGCAAAGGTTCTTCGACCGAAAAACATTATAGCCTGGGCGAATGTTCATGAGCCAATGAAAGCTACCCACATCGAGAGAAGTCCTGTTAGCTCCAGGCATTTCCTCGTCAACGAGTGTATCATTATAGGCACCAGAAAACTGAGGGAAACACTTGTAAAATTCCCAACACTTGGCATTCTTGAATTGCCTCACCCGGTCAATCCACGGTCGGGAAGGATATAACCACTTACATCCTTCTAGGAGCTGCAACAAGGGGATTCCTGGATCAGACGCGTCAGGTGCTGACATCATGTCCGCTCGATGGAGAACTAGGCACGCCATTAAATATGTGTACGGCTGTAGGCAATAAAAATCGCCTTTAAATCCTTATCAGAGAAGTTCAGAACAAAACTGCTAAAACCTCACCCGAAATAGCGAAAAAGGGGAAAACGCAGATATCTCCCAAATCGTAAGGAATTTGGCAAAACGGAGGAAGCAAACTGACTCGAGCCGCTTTCTTACTCTTTACTTCAATCTTGGCTATCGCTATTTGATAGTGACAAGTTAATTCCCAGAGTATGTCATAAGCAGGAGAGCCAGCCTTCTTCATCTTCATGAGCTGACGATTGTTGGGAAAATATTCTTGATAAGGAGTGTTCCCCAATGGCAGTCCAGATACTTGCATCATTTCGTGGAGCGGAAGCCCTAACTCCCCATACTTGGTAAGAAATGTATTGGCCTCCGGAATATAAGACTCAAACAAAGCAAGGAAATGATCTACGCTGACTGGAAGACCATGCATGCTGGCTCGGATCGGAGCATATAACCCCAAATTCCTTAACTCTTGATCCCAACGATTGAGTACATACTTGGTCATCCTAGCCCACCATTTGTCGGGAAGAGAATGAACCCATCCATAACATCTAAATTTCGGAATGGGGAGTTCTCGGCCAACCCGAGCGAGCCTATTCTTTACGGTATTGGCCCTTATCATCAGTTCGTTCTGGGGCCCGCTATCCGGTCCAAATATCCCTGGGTGAAGGCCACGGACATTATGCCTGCTAATGGAGCCAGGAGCACTGACATCTTTGCCAATAAATCCACAATGGATATGCTCATGGTCTTCTGTTAGATGCCACGCCATTTTTCGTTCTGGGGCCCGCTATCTGGTCCAAATATCCCTGGGTGAAGGCCACGGACATTATGCCTGCCAATGGAGCCAGGAGCACTGACATCTTTGCCAATAAATCCACAATGGATATGCTCATGGTCTTCTGTTAGATGCCACGCCATTTTTCTCGAAACAGCCAGATTCCTTAATTGCAGAATTGAATATTGACGAGGGAATGGAGGAAGAAATAGAAAAGCACCTTCATGCTCATTCAACCAAATTTCAGAGCCACGGCAGAGATTGTCTGGATCTTCTATCGAATCTCCGAACAGATAGTCAGGCTTCTTCAACGGTTCGGTAGAATCTCTAGTTGGAGTTAAGGGTGAGTCGGTCAGCAAAGCGCGCAGAGTGCGACGACCTCCCTCACGAATCAACTCTGGAACACTATTATCACAGTCTTCACTAAACTGGCGAGCCTCTCTAACCAGAAAGTCGCCGCGAAAGGAGGCGTGAAGAGTACCACTCTGGCCTGGGTCCTCTCTATCAGAGAAGGCCACAGAGGGAAAGGGGACTACAAAGAAAAGTTGGAAAACAGTTGTGTAAAAGAGGCTAAACAGAACAAAACCTCGCTCTAAGTGACCGCGGCACCATTTACTGTCGTGCGTTACCGCGGCAGGGTATGTTGCCGCGTTCAGCCGCGGCAGCACGTACTGCCGCGGTAACTAAACAGTGGCCCTTGATTTCGACAAGGCACAAGTTCGACAAAAACTCGCATCTTGACTGTGGTACATGTCTTGATTGAACAAGATATGTGTTTTTAAAGCGTCAATCCTCTCGATGGAGGATGTCAACTCTTCCCGAATGCCTCTCAAAGGAGGCAAACGAGGTTATACGTGCAAAAACAGTAGTTTTGAAGGGGGGAAGTGTTGAAAACTCACCTCCAAATGAAGCGGCAGCGGCCTCCGTCTCTTCAGATGCGGGGACTGCAGATTTACCCTTGGAAGCACGAGCTTTCTTGGGAGACATGGTGAAATCAACCTGAAAAGCAAAGAAAGTTAGGGTTTTGTATCAGATCTCAAACAAGAAACCAAAAGAGAACCCTAAAATAGGATATAGGGGTACGGTTCTTGCCAAGGGAGAATAGAATCAAGTTTGATTGAAGGAAAAGCTTGAGATCAAAGGAAGAGATCAAAATCAATGGGGATTCAAAACCCTAGATCTCAAAAAACCCTAAATCTTGTTTAAGCAAATAGCACTCGAATATGAAGAGTTGAAGAAGGGGAAAACCAGAAAAATCCCTTTATATGGCTTTGGAGGAAGTTTCGAACTCAAAGAAGCGGGTAAAAGTAACCCTAAAGAGCCCAACAGCAACCTTATAACCCGACTGGCCGAAGCAGTCCGCGGCACTTGAGGCTGTCGCGCTTAAGCGCGGCACTTGACGTTGTCGCGCTCAAGCGCGGCAGTACATGCTGTCGCGGTAATTTACATTGTTATGGGCCTTTCTGCCGCGCAGGAATATCATACATACACAATAATTTTTTTGATATTTGAACAGATACATCTCACCCTGTATTTGGAACACAGTCCGGAACACTCCGATGAGTATATGAGTATAAACTGCATCTCCTTGAACCTCCCAACGGGTATATGAGGTTAAACTGTTTCCCGAACACTCCAATAGAGCATATGAGTATAAACTATTTCTCCATTTTTCAACAACAGTTCTGATTCAAGACTTCGACAACGGCCACGCGATAAACGCAGCACCGGAGGAATCTTAGCTATTCTACAAAGCACTGAGTAGACTAAAAGATAAAGAAGTCAAGGATTGAAGCCATTCACAGATCATTCTACGCAACTTCTTCAACAAAGCACTGGAGAAATTGCAAGGAAAGCTTATCATATCCAAAGTATCCCAGACTCCTCTCTAAAAAAAATGAAAATGAAAAAATGATGAGTCTGAGATACTTTGGAGGGGGTATCTGTAGGCGTCGAAAAATGCTTGCAGACATCCAAATACCACTCAAAACAATATGGGAGAACAATCTACATGTCATCAGGCAACACAAGGTGGCGCGGCAGCCCATGGCGTCCCGGCTAAGGCGCAACAGCACATAGTGCCGCGGCTAAGGCGCGACAGCACATAGTGCCGCGGCTAAGGCGCGACAGCACATAGTGTCGCGGCTAAGGCGCGACAGCATGTTGTGTCGCGGCTTAGGCGCTGCAACCTAGGGTGTCGCGGCTATATTAAAGGAGTGATGTGGCGGTTACAAGGCAGTTATATGATGATTTTTTGAGGCCTACGTGGCAGCATATCAGAAATAGAACGTGTGCTGACGTGGACAAGCAGTTAAACCAAGAAAAAGGTGGTTAAAGGTCATGGGAAAACGGTTTTAAGTACGAGGGAACGTGTGTGTAACTACCCCTTTAGCCGTGGCATCCCACATTGCCGTGCCAATAGCCGCGGCAGTGTTGACTGACGCGGCCAAAGAGCATTTGTTTGGTCAGTTATCTCGCCCCCATTTTCACTGTTATGCACTGCTACCCCTATAAATACCTCTCTAGACACGAAATAAAGGACAGAGAGCAGATTGGAGCATAGAGACTCGGGCTTTTAGTGATTTTGAGGAAGAGAGAGAGAGTCTTCATTCTTCGTAAACACTTTCAAGAAGCTTTTGGCGATTCCCAAAGATCTAAGCTCTGACTTGATCTTTTGTAGCGTGTTATGCTGTAAGTGTAGCGTGTTATGCTGTAAGTGTAGCGGGTTATCCTGTAAGTGTAGCGGGTTAGACTGTAAGTGTAGCGTGTTATGCTGTAAGTGTAGTGGGTTATCCTGTAAGTGTAGCGGGTTATCCTGTAAGTATAGCGGGTTATGCTGTAAGTGTAGCGGGTTATCCTGCAAGCGTAGCGTGTTATGCTGTAAGTGTATAGTGATAGAATGAAAGCGTAGCGAGATAGACTTATGACAAACCAAGCCACAAACATATATCTTGCATCCAAAATTCAGAGCAAAACATGCCTTCTATTGATCCAAAAGTATCACATAACTCTCGATCATATAAACACATAACAAACACATAGCAAATTATGCTAAAAACATGTCTTACATTGATTCAAAAGTATGCCACTTACACAAAACTATAACACACAAAAGTCATGCATTTTTACAATATATCTAGTCTGCAACTAGTCTGCAATAGGTTGTCTACATGTTCTACGGTTGTGACCATACTGTTGACATCTACTACATTTTAACTCTTTATGGGGATTCAATCCTGAAGGAATGCGCTTTGTTCTTGGTC